GTTTGTTGTTGTTGTTCAACGCTGCCGGCCTTTTGTTCGCCTTTTTTCCTCTGGAGAGAGAGGGAGGTACACCAACCAGCGTGTGTTGCACACACCACACAGCGAGAGCGGGACGGGAGCAGGGTGTGCCCTCTCCCAATCTTTCTTTTTTAGAGCTAATGTGAGAAACAACAACAACAACAAACACGACAATTCGACTACAGGAACAGCATCACCCCCCTTGTCCCGCATTTAACCAACATGAATGTCGACTACAGCGTGCTGCTGTCTGAAGTGCTGTCTGTACAATAATAACACCATGGTGCATGGTACACAAGCTCGGGGCGTGCAGCTGCTGTCTCAAGTGCTGTCAAAATATGTCCGTGGACATACAATGAAGAACACCCAACCAATGCCATCATTGCAATTGACAATCACCCGAATCTATCCAGATCAGTGAAAAGAATCTGTGTTAGGCACAGCAGTGTAAACATCGACACTGTAAACATCGACACTGACTAGGAGTCGATCCACATTGAAGGGGTCTTCCACGATGTAGGTACGCAATTGAGGCACCCGGGTTATCCGCGCCATCTCGGCCGCGTCTCTCTACAAACCAGTGACGTCATCACACGCACCCAACACCTATTTTCAGGAAAAAATCGTAAAACAATTGACAACACAAGAGATGTTTGTCCGTGCGCCACGGTTCGATGCCATCCGCATGCTCCGGTGCCGCTGCTCCGGTGTTGCTGTGGTCAGTCCTAGCACGACCAAATTCGACCCGCTCCGCTTCGTACACGCTCTCGTTGCTGTCCTTCCCAGTCGGTTCCTCGCTTTCTCCCTCGTTGCACTTAGGGTTCTTGGTCTGAAAACTCTCGCGCCGAAGGGTCAACTAGCCCAATCAGCTCGTCACCACCTGTCACCTCATCGGCAAAACCAGGTTACTGAGACAGTACAGCTCCCTCCAGCAAACCTAGGGCCGTGTACATAGTGCCCGTCCACCTTTCTGATGAGGTCTGCCTCCGCGCACAAAGAGGAGATGGGCACTGCTGCCTACACCGACGGCCTGGAGGCCCGCGCATCTGCACCTTTTTACCTGACGCACCAGTGCCGACCCAACACCACCACTACGCACGCCTCGCGGCGGCGCAGCAAGAAGGTATCGGTCCCTTGAGGATGAGTCTAGCCCTGCTCGCTAGACAGACCCCCCCCCTCGCTATGGGTCCTGCCTACGCAAAATCTCCCCGAGGCAGCGAGGGGAAGAAGGGTGCCATCTCTCCGACTCTTGAAGGTGGACGTTGTCAGACAGCTATTCCGAAGAAAATCGAACGTCGAAAATCGAAATATATGTCATTGGTTGGACAGCCAGTGTCGTGCAATAACTCAACCCTAGGTTAGGCCAGGGTAAGAAGACTTGGGGTAGTTTAATCGCAGTATATATGTTGAGGAGTGATGGAATGGAAGGTCAAGAAAAGAGTATGAGGTGGAGACTAGAATTGAGAAGGTGTTGGTTTATGGTTGGAATGATGAGCTTATGAGGGAATTGCAGTTAGTTGAGGGAGAGAGAGTTGGAGAGAAAGTGAAGCGTGCGTGCGTTCAATTTCCCTGCTGTTCCCAGCCCACGAAGGCCTAAGAAACACACTTTGATCGCAAGAAACTTTGAGACGCGCAAACCCACGACCCCACTGGCACATCTACACATATATATACGCGCGATAGGCCATCGCCGGCCGATTCCACGTCACTGGCACCGAAGGACGGGTCACGCGGTTAGCGCACAGCTTGCGGTGTGTTCTTCCCATAGCACAGAGAGGTGAGGGAGGGGAAGTGAACAGCTATGAAGGGAGGGTTGGACACGCGGACCACACGGGGGGTGGCGGTGGTTCTAGGGCGGTGGGATAGGTGAGTTGCCGACGGGAGGGAATGAGTCGGCGGCGAAAGCGATGTCAGGGGAAGGGGAAGTGCTTACAGAGAGACCTCGGGAGGAAGGGAAAAAGAGGTCGGTTGGAGACGTTGAAGTTGGAGACTCACGTCAGACAAGGGAAGTGCTATCTAAGAATGTACAGCAGACATCCGAGGATGCACAACGGACAGAGGCTGAGGACTCTGGGGGAAAGGGTGGATGGCCTGAGGGCAAGAGGGGTTATGAGGGTATTGCGCACGCTTGGGGGGAAAGTGTGTCGCACAAGGGGAGAACGGCGGTGGGTGACTTGGAAAAAGGTGTGACTTCAAGTCTAACAAAAGGGCTGACGCACCTCACGGGAGATCGGGGCAGAGAGGTGTGGGAGAGTCATGTCTCGGCGAATCGGGTAAGGAGTCTGACGAGAGGCTCGGGGGCAGGGGCAAGGCGCCTAAGCGCAGATCAGAGGATGGCAATGGAGGCAATGGCAATGCCAGGGTTTCAGGCGGTAGCGCCGCGAAGTAAGAAGGGTGGGGAGGAATACTACTCACGGTGGACAAGTCAAATGCGCAGACACAGAAGGTCACAGACACCTGACGCGGGTCATTTCATTTTCTCGTACGTCAGGTGATGGGGGAGGAAAAGTGTCCATGAAGGAGGAAGAAAAGCGCAAGAGGGGGGTTGATGCCCAGGTGGGGGAGGATTGTGGAGGGGGTAGTGCCTCGGGCAAGGAAGGAGAGGGGGATGGAGAGTCCCAGGGCGGGGAGCCGTCGGATGAGGGAGAGGTGAGAAACACTTCGAGTGTGCTTCTTGACTTGTTACAGTCACATTTTGGGGGTGATGTGGAGGCTCTCAAAACCCTGGTGTCCAACATGGGGGAGGTGGAAGAAAGGAACCAGCGAGATACAAGAGAAATATTGCGGGCTGGAGGTGAAGGGTGAAAGGGGTGACAAGTATTGCGAGATTAATAACAAATATCGAGGAGTGGTGGTGCAGGGTGGAGGTGAAGGGTAAAGGAGGTGCACGGTGTTGCGAGATTAAAAACAAATCTCGAGAGGTGAAGGTGAAGGGTGAAAGGTATTGCGAGATTAAAAACAAATCTCGAGGAGTGATGGTGCAGGGTGAGAGGGGTGATTGCGAGACTAATAACAAATCTCGAGAGGTGAAGGTGAAGGGTGAAAAGTACTGCGAGATTAAAAACAAATCTCGAGGAGTGATGGTGCAGGGTGAGAGGGGTGATTGCGAGACTAATAACAAATCTCGAGAGGTGAAGGTGCAGGGTGAAGGAGGTACCGGGTATTGTGATGACGAAAAGAAATATCGCGGGCAGAAGGGAAGAAAGCAGAGCCCAGGACCGGGATCAAAGCAGAATCTCGGGGAGGCTGAAATATAGCGAAAACAATCATCCCGCGAGAACATCAAAGAAGACTCTGGGGGGCCGATCGGTGGTGCACAACACCTAGGGTGATGGCCTGGCGACGGGGATCGTCTCGTCCAACCACGGAATGCGACGTTTTTCAGTATCTAAGGAGTATTCCAAGCAGGGTGGAAGTAATTATCCCAAACTGCAAGTGGTTTCGGGTGCTGACAAATTGAGCTGCACGGCTGTAGGCCGTGGGAGCAAGAATGTACTGCGGAGTAGGCCCCCGCAAGAAATTATTGTTCGTAGTGTGTCGCAAGATGCACGTGCACAGCTTCAGGAGCCAATCACTAGTATGACACACAGGGATTTTCCAGAAGTAGGGGTGCCGAACACGCCCCCTTCGTCAGATCAAACGAAGTCTAACATTGGCAGAATGGGAAATGTTAATGACAATGCAACACCAGCGGAAAATGCGTTACGCTCAAAGGAAGGAAATACGCAAGGCAAATTCTCCGAGAACCGTGAGGTGTCCGCTGTATCCTCAAGCGGAACACACGGTTGGTCGAAATGGAGCCAAAAAGGGGTCGATTGATAGGGACACTAGAAAGGAAAAAAGCGTTACCGTTGATCGTGCTGACAGCAAGCAGAACCATGAAACTGTTGCTTCACCAGTGATAGGAGAAGTGGGCGTGATAGGGGATGCATCCGCCTCTGAAAATTCTCTCAAGCGTGAGTTTGAGATAACAGCGCAGGAGGGAGGACATTTTGGTGAAGCACAAGAAGGAACAGATCGCACTTTTGCTGTACAAGTATCTGTTAGTTCTGTGTCAGGACAAAGGAGTGATGCGGTGTACCCTCCGCCTCCCTTTACGTTTGCTGCAGGTGAAGCGGCGAACTACCTGTCACCATCTATTCGGTCGGTCGGTGGGGATTTGACGATGGACCGACATCGACATACGACTCGAGTGCAAGTGTTCGCGGGGGCAAGGGCGACCAGAATGATGTCGTGGGAGGCTCTGTTGGATACGGGAAGTCCGGCATCGTTTGTTCAAGAAAGGTGTGTGCAATAGATGTTGGCATATTGGTTCGGCTTCAGGTGATAGCATTGAAACAGGACTGAACAAGAAATGGGGTGGGTTCCATGGGGTGCCGTTGGTTACAGATCGAAAAATGCGATCAAATATTGAAATTTGGAAGGGCGGAAAATCAGCGCCGGTTCATTTCGGTACACCGACGGTACGGACGAGTGTGTATGCGTACATCGTGCCAGACTCAGCTATGGGACATGATCTGATACTAGGGAGGGATAGTTGGGCTGATTTTCCAGTTGGCAGATTCCAAAACGTGTCGGACACAGAAACAATTGTCACTTTTGTCGGTGAAAATACTGATAAAGTGGCAGGAGATCACCGCTTTGATGAATGGGTGGGTAAGGCGGTTGGTATGGTGGAAACGGAAGGTGATGGAAAGGTGGGGGTGAAATCTGATGGTAGTAGACGATGGCTTCCAAATGCAATGTCATGGGTTGAGGTAAAAATTACCAACCTAAATGGCAGTGACGCTGCGGTGGGGACGTACCGTGTGCAGTTTGGGAAAAAGTGGTTCCCGCAGGAAGCATTGGTCGGAAATGGCACGTCTGAAATTCGTCTCAAAAGAGTGGGGGATAGCTCGTGTCTGGTGAAACCAAACGTTTTTTTGGGGTATGGTGGTGAACCCCTGGAAGTGGTAAATTTGGATGATGCCCGTTTGGTGGAAAATGAGGAATTCAAAAATGTATTTGCGGTTCAGGAGGGTGAAGAGGCTGACATGCCTGACGACGAACCCCCCGCTGATGTTATGTCTTCTTTGAATGGGGTGCAGCAGGTGGCGATCAGGCGGTTGTGGCAAAGGGTGCCTCCGCACATTCGAGACGTCCATGTCGACTTCAATGCAAAACTGTGGGAGCCGGAAGACATTGACAAACTAGGTGACTTATTGTGCAAGTTTGAGCGTCGTTTTTCGAAGGGTGGTTCGGATTTAGGACGGGTGACGGTGGATCCGTTTCGAATCATTTTGAAGCCGGGGGCGCAGCCAGTGCGGCAGAGGCTATATCGCTATTCACCAGATATGAACGAAAAGGTGCAGATGGAAATTGACAAATTGCTGTTGGCGGGTTTGTTGCGGAGATCGTACAGCAATTGAGCGAGTCCGTTGATGGTAGTCGCGAAAGCTAGCGGTGGTGTGCGGTTGACGGTCAACTACAAGCGCATCAACAAAATGAATGTACCCCCGATATTGCCCATTGCGATAGTGGGGATATTTTGGCGGAATTGGACAAATCGAAAATCTTCAGTACGCTGGATTTGGTCAGTGGGTTCTTCCAGTGCAGTATTGAGGAGGACAGCATTCCGATCACTGCTGCTGTTATCACGTCTCAGTAGTAGTCCTGGGTGGTTCCATTCGGTGATGGCCAGAGAATGTGACGGACTGGAACGTGTGCGTCTGTTTATAGATGACGTGATCGTTTTTTCCAGGGACGGGGCAGAACACTTGCGCGACCTGGAAAGGTTTTTCGAGCGTGTGGTCAAGTTCAACCTGAAGCTGGCACCCAATAAGATGAACCTGGGGGTGAAAGTGGTGACGTTTTTGGGACATCAAGTCACGGCGGAAGGGATCGGGCCGGACCCGGGAAAGGTCAGACCGCTGCGTGAAGTGCCGATGCCCACTAATGTTAGCCAGCTACGATCGTTGTTAGGGTCTTTGTCGTACTATCGCAAATTCCTGAAGAACATGTCGGCTAAATTGAACCCGATCAATGCGATGCTGAAAAAGGGAGCGAAGTTTGCGTTCACGGCTGATCATGTGGCGGTGGTGAGGAAGATGATGGATATTCTGTCTGGTCCTGAGGTCTTGGCATTTCCGTGTTATGAAGGTGAAATCTGGGGAAAGGGACCGTTTCGAGTAACCGCTGATGCGTCAATTTCGGGCTTGGGAGCCGTAATTGAGCAAGAGCAACGAGATGGGAGTATTAGACCGCTATGCTTTTTGAGCATATCAACATTCCCGAATGAAACCAGATGGAGTCCGACTGACCTTGAAGCGGGTGCGATAGTGTGGGCGATTAAGAAGAATCGAACACTATTTTATGGCATCCCCTTTGAAGTGTACAGTGACCATCAACCCTTGCGAAATTTGCGGAGTTTGGCAGAGAAAAACAATCCCGTACAGAGGTGGCATGACTTCCTGTCGGCGTACACGTATGAACTGAAGTATCAACCAGGGCGAGAGAAAGCAAATGCCGATTTTATGTCACGGTTGCCATTGGCTGCGACGAAAGAGGATGAGGCACCAGATGTCAGGCTGACTGATCGGTCAGATCTCGATGTTTTTATGATAGGTGCGAGCGGGGTGCTACCTTCGCGATTGGGTCCGGTGTAGACAAAGTTTGTATTGCGTTCGGCCTCTGTGCTGTGTTTCTTTTCTTCATGTCCTCCCTGCCTACTCTGCTGTGTTGGGTACCTTGATCTCGCTTTGCTGTTGCTTTTGTTTTTGTACATCTGGCTGTCTGCCCATCTGCCGCCTCTTTGTCCTGTTTGCTCCGTTACTTCCATGCCCTGGTGCGTAGTGCCTGGTGCTGGTACGTTACCCTTTGTTTTTTTCTTTGGGCGAGCGTGGCAAGCGTTCTCCTTTATTATTTATTTTTCAGTTTCCGAGGGCCCTTTTTTCGAACGGTCGGTGCGATACCTGTTCATTTCTTTTTCTGTCTAACATTTTGTTTTCTTTTTCCGAGTGGTTTGTACCCTATTTTTGTTTTGTGTCCCCGCGGGGTCGTATGCGCCGAGTTTTGGGACCACGGGCTCCCCATTTTTTGTGGACTGTAGAGCGAATGTGAGAAACAGCAACAACAACAACAACAAGAACAACAACAACAACGTACGCAGGGGTCGGATTGAGTCCTTTTCCATCCGAACACCGTG